CCAGAACACTCTGTCTGAAACTCTGCTGCAATTGGCCTATTCTGTTCACCTGGGATTTAACACATTCTATACTATTAAGTCTTTTCTAGCTGAGGAGTTATCTTTCCATGTGCTTTTTGTTTGGTCTCAGGAACTAGATAGGAAACTTCTTGAGGGCAAAACAGCTTGTTTTATATACAGTGGATCCTCAAGTTACAAATGGCCTGACACATGGGCAACTTGGGTTAATTAGGTTACTGGGAAATTCCTCTGCCTCTCGTTATCTATAGTGTGTACCCAGGTAAACATCCAGATCTCAGCTGTATTGATTTACAACTAACTTGAGTTACAACTACTCCTCAGGAACCGATGGTGGTCATAAGTCAAGGGTCCACTGTACTTTGTTGTTTCCCCTGTGCCTGGTAACTCCTAGGTATGCAGCGGTGGTAACTGCAGCAGCAACAGCATACAGATGTCATTTGACGAGCTCATGCACTGGGCTCTGAGTACTTTACATGGATTAATGAATGTAGCTCTCATACCTGTTGAGGTATGCACAAGTATTATTATTTTACAGAAAAATCCTGAGACATTCGAGGCTAATGAATTGCATAGTATTACACAACTGTTAAGTGGAACATCCAGAACTCAAACGAAAGCCCTCATGAGATAAAGATTAGGGCAGAGAGAAGCTGGGGAAGGAGGCAGGACCTGTTAATTAGAAAGATCACGGAACACGTGCAGAACAACCCCTAAAGTTAAGCACGTGGCTGTCTCGAGACATGAGCAGGTTTTCAACAGGATGGCCTAGATCTGACATCAGCCTGAGACGTGGAATCCCAGCACCACTTCTCAGGACCCATATGTAGAAGTTTTCTTGGGTTTTCTCAAGATTTGGACAGTATAAAGGACAGACACCAAGAACAGCTTGCTATTGTGACTTTCTTTACAGTAGCCTGTCCTTTCTCCAGGGTGTCCTTTTATTGATTTTTCTCCTTTTACTTAGCCCAGGCTCTCTCTGCAGAGACAGTTTCTCCCTCGCTCTTCACTTTCGCTTTCTTGAAGAAACTTGGCCACAACTTTTGCTTGTTTTGTTCAATTCTTTGTTCAAGAAATGAAGAACCTGAAATCTTAAAAGAGGCGAGCAACCCAGAAACAGGTAACATTTAGTTGGCGGGCCACTTTTTGAGGTACTTGGGGGCAGGATGGGCAGTGTGCCAAGGGAAGGGAGAAGAGAGATGGGGCATATCTACAATGATATGTGCACGAGCGTGGCATAGTGGCTTACACCTATAATCCTAGCTACTTGGCAGGCTGGTGTGGGAGGATCACAAGTTTGAGGTTAGTCTGGGCAATTTAGCAAGACCTTGCCTCAGCATTTAAAAAAATGAATAATAAAAAGGGCTAGAAATGTAGCTCAGTGATAAAGTGTACAGCATGTGTGAGACCTTGGGTTCAAGCTCCAGCACCACAAAAACAAACATGAATGATACTGTCCCATTCCTTAAAACTTACACAATGTTCATGCATTTATTCATAAAGATGAGTGAAAAGATGGCTTCTAAAATGTCAACAGGTAGTCAACTACCTCAGGACAGCTGAATTCTAAATGATTTATTGACTTTTAAATATTTGTCTACACTGATCTTTTAAGGAACCTTCAGGACTGCAGGATATGGTAGAAAGAGAAATAATGAAATAAAGCAAAATAAAAGAGAGAACAGAAGGGCAGCAGGCTGTCCTGTGTTTTATAGCTATCACTCTGGTGACAGAGCATGAAGATAGAGAAAATGAATCTACCACAACAAGGAAGAAATAAATGATGCTCACTAACATCTGTGGGATGCGTGGATCATCTTCCTTTTGGCTGATGGGGATAATGCTGCTGTGAGATAACTGAATTCTAAACCCACATGTCTATCAACTGATGAGTGGTTAAACTGTGGTATATCCACACAATGGAACACTATACAGCCATAGAAGGGTTGAAATGCTAACAATGGAAGATGCTACACTGTGGATAACCTTGAAAATATTATGCCAACTGAAAGAAGCCAGATATGAAAGGTCACAGATTGGGTAATTCCATTTATATGAAATACCCCAAATAAGAACACAGACAGAAAACAGATGACAGGGACTGAGGGCAGATTGTGGAGTGACCCCTTAATGGGTATAAAGTTTTCTTTTAGGGCAATGAAGATGTTTGGAAATTAGAAGCTACAGTTGCTGCTATGATTTGGGTGTGGCTTGGATACCCTCAGGGTCTGCTGTGAGTAGCAGCTTGGTCTGGGTGGGGCTGCTGAGAGATAGTGGTGCCCTGGGAGGGGGGTCCTTAGGTCCTTGGGGTGTGAGGGCTGCTAGCGAATAAGCACACCTAGCCCTGCCCATCCTCCCTGCTCCTGGGTTGGGATGTAGTCACTTGCTTGTCCCCACGTGCTGCGACAGTGTTCTGTCCGTGAGGAGAAGCAGCCAGTGGGTGGCCCTCTCCATAGAGCCCACGCTATGCTGTTGGGACTGTGAGCGAAGTAAACTCCCTCTGCTTTGTAAGCAGCCACGTGAGCTATTTCATTACGGTGACAAAGCTGACTAACATAGATGCACAGCAGTGTGAACGTAGTAAATGTCACTGAATCACATACTTTTAAATGGTTAAATTTGTTAATATGAATTTTGCTTCAATTAAAAAAAAACCAATTACCCTTTAACTTAAAAGTCCTGAGAAAATGCAAAGGCAAGAGGATTCAAGAAAACCCTGAGAAATGAGGAGAAGAGGAGAGCAGCCAGTCTAAAATGTGGTCTTGGCCAGAGGGAGAGGCTCCTCGCTCACACAGGGTGGGTAACGAAGACATCGAGGGTGCAGTGGGAGCCTTGGAGGTGCTGTGAGCCTTCTTTTTTGTACAACATCTACCAGCCTGGGAGATCTGAGATGGCGTGGTTGGCACACATTTGCGGGTGGGTGGGGTGTTCTGACTCCTAAAATAGAAAGGGCAGAAAAGGCTGAAGCCAAATTCAAAGCACTCATCAATGGATGCAGAGCCTTCCCTGGGTTGGCCACACAGGTGGTAACTGCTTGCAGCTGGTGCTGCCCTCTAGATTGGCAGCAGCCTGTGGGCAGGGCAGGGCCAGGCCTTGCTCCTGGCCTTAATCAGACGCCCTGGCTCAGAGCAGGTGACAGCATATATTTGTGTTGAAGAAATGCACATCCTCCGTTTTATTTATATTTTTAATACATTAAACACAGATATGGCACAAAATCCAAAAGGCTTCAAGGACTACACACGGGTACATTCCTTTCCCTCTACCCTATCACTCCAAAATATTTGAGGCATCCTTTGGCACTATCTCTGTAATTTTAAATGTGACTAGTGGGTGGCATTCTGAACTGCAGAGGCTCCTGCAACCAGACTATCCAGTGACCTGGGCATCGGGTCACCAGCACAAGGTGGGAGCTGCATGTGACATCAAGGTAAAAGTCATCATAGTGAAAACAAGGTCCTGGGATTCTGTGCCATGGAGCTGCTGGCTTACAGGAGAATGCTGCTCAGGTGACAGCCCCCGCTCCAGCCTTCACAGAATGACAAGCTCATGGGCGGGGGTCGTGCAGGCTGTCCACCAAGCTGGCCACCCTGGGCTCTTCAGCCTGTTTTGGATGTGATGGAAAGGCTACACTGCTATATGAGGGGATGAACCACACCCACTATGGCCTAGGGAGGGGTCGAGTAGTTTGTCTGAAAGGAAGAAGTTCACCTTAAAAGAACTCAACTGTGAGCTGGTGGCACTGACCTCATAGACAGGTTGCAGAGCAGACCGTGCTGGTCAGGAGGAGGCAGCCCTGGAAACCAAGACACCCAGAGAGGGCTTGGACCAATCTGGGCCAACACACACCTAAACCGAGTCCTGGCGGGGCAGGCCATGTGTGCTGGGGCATCTGGACATACTTCATTACCTATCCGTATCGTGAGGATCTGTGTGGTTTTGGGGGCTTTTTCTGTTTTTTTTTTTTTTTTTAGAAGGCTGAGTAACCATTGCCCCATGTAGTCACCAAACTAAAGACTAAAAAAAGATTCAAGCTACACAGGCTCATCTGTTCCCAAGGTTCCTGCCTAATGCGGCGATGCACTGGCAGGCTAGGGGGTGAGTTGAGCACTTATCTGATTTCAGCCAATCTGTTACTGTATTTCATTCCCTGTCCTTGTGCCCAGAGGCTGTTGCAATGGGCCTAAATTTAGAAAGAGAGAGAGAGAGAGAGAGAGATAAATAACATGGAAAAGTTCATTTTAACAAAATGGGCTCCTTCTCCCTTTCTTTCTTCTTTCTTTCTTCCTCTCATTTTGCTAAAGAGAAGATAAAATGGTTTCCTTACTTATTCAGCCCTTCCAAGGTAGAATCTGGTACTCTAGGCAAGAACTTAATAATACATAACCACAGCCCAGATGAAACAGTTCCCACTGAAGCTGAAAATGAAACAGTAAAGCTACCGTCCTGAGTATTTCCTAGAAGCTGAGAGGGTGAGAAGATGATAGCACCTTGCACAAGATCTGTAATCTATGGGGTTCCTCATGACCAAGTAAAACACCCTAAATAAAGATAGCATCTACCCTTACTTGAAATGTCCTTACCAGCTAGGCATGGCCCAGGTGCCTGCTACTATCAAGTCACCAGGAGTTATACACTGATGTTTTAAATCAGACTTTCATGAAGAAATTAGTATCACAGATGGACGATTTTGGTTGTGATAGAAAGTACACTGGAAGAGAAACTGCCTGAGAAATGCTGCCCTTCCCTCCCACACACTCTCAGCCTTGGGAATGACGGACCACGTGTAGTAAGAGACCATTAATCAACTCCACCACATTATCATTTAGCCTATTTCCTTCTATAGAAAGGAAACCAAAGTTAAATGGCAACCAATTCACAAGGTTGGCAGTGATAGAGGGGCCCAGGTCCAGGCCTCATGTCTCTTGGAGGCACCCAGTCACCACCCCTTGCTGGAAGCCAACCAGGGTCAGCAGTTATACCTCCGACAGCATCTCATACTGGCCTCTCCTTCCAAGAGCAATGGTCAGCAAATCGTAGACCACAGACGCACTCTGCAGACTGATGAGGCGGTCAGTTTTGTGCTCAGGTATCCTGCTCAGCACAGCGTCCCGGTTGGCCTGAAAACAACATGGGAGAGAGAAACAGATGGTGAGCCAGCCTGCGCACATTGCCAGCATGGTGTGGTGGAGAAGCCACCTAGTCCCCCTGCTCCTCAGTTTGCCTTCTGGAGGACAGAAGCGAGTAAGGGGCCTGTCACCTCAGGTTATGTATTCAGAATCTCTGGTGCATCACAGCACATGGTGGAGAGAACCTAACAGTCAGTCTTTGGGGAAGCTTCAGGGGCTGAGGCAAAGCAGGGACTGTCCCTTGGTCTCAGGCTCACAAAAGTCTGGGTGGCAGACACAGCAGCAGCAGCCATCAAGTGGGAACCCGCTGTCTACTGTGATCCTGCTCTGCTCTACACTCAGGATGAGAGAACATTCTCAGCCCTGCACTCCCATCACCAAATGGTGTCATCGAGCTCTCGCCGTCCCACGAAGATACATCATACTTTTCCTCTATCTCTGGGCAACATTCAGATCCCTATATGGTGGCTTCATGGAACACATCTCAAAGACTAATTCAACCTTGTAAAGGGAAGCATGAAGCAGATGTACAAGAAGGAAGCTGATCTTTACTTTAAATGATTTTGCCACAGAGGACTGAAGAGAACACCTTGCCAATTTCACATCTCAACTGCTTAGCACAGAAATACATCAGGCGCAGCCAAGCTTACTCATCTCATCTCTCCAGAATCAAACACTCTTCATAGCAGCTTGTTTTCATTACTTCCGAAGTTTAATTTCTCCACAGATTTCTCCATCCATACCACATATAATAAAGACTCAACAGCTAGCTTATTTTCCTTTTTTCTTTTTTCTGTAATAGGGCGTTCTGAATCAACAGAGTTGAATTTCACCTGCCCTTTTCCCTCCAGCTAATTAACAGAAGCCCCCCCCCATCTGTCCCTAGAGGCAGAGAAAGGGGTCCCAGCCTTTCCTGTGAACGTGGTGCTTGTTTCTAGAGTCACTTGTCCCCAGGCTGATGTGTACCTTCCTGTCTGACATTCACAAAGTCCACAGGCATACCTTCCTCCTGCTAATGAGGCAAAAATGCTTTTTTTTTGTCTGTGAGACAAGGCATTTACTTCTAGCCACCCAACAGAAATTACTCACTTTATAACTCCTGGCTCTTAAATGTCAGAAACAAATGAGAATGTCTAAGACAGGCCACTTCCCACAAGGTGAGTCATCTCTTATGGAAACAAGCCTGCTTTTGAAGATTTCATTCTAAGTTTTTCTGCACGCAGTGCTTGGAGCCCAACAAAAGGCGCTCTAAGACGCCTGCTGTAAATGGTCTCCCTTTATTTATTTGATATAAATGTTCCCTACTGAGACCAATACCTGGAAGAGAACAAAATAAAATGTAACAGGTACTGTTTAGGAGAGATTTTCAAGTTATATGAAATACATCGTACTTCTTTTTCATTCTCAGAGAAAGTATTAGATTTTGATTAAAAAGGTTCTATAACTTCAAGTAGATCCACAATTAATACATATCCCAAAATACTATTTCAGTGGTAGTTGTGCAAACAGTTCTGATGATCTCTTTTTCTAGGGGAAACTAATTTGCTATGTAGTGAGAAAGCAGTACAATTCCAAATGATTTCTTTGTAGGTGGAGAGACTATAGATAAATTTATGCTCCTAAAGTCAGATCCAATGAAGAATATAATTTTCTCAGATATTCAAAAAGCACAGTGACTCTCAGTTTGATTCTGAAATCGAGCACCTTCATTTTCTGCTTAAAAACTGAAAAATCAAATAGTCAAAGAACATGGAAATAAAGATTCCTAAGAACAATTTAATTGTGGAATGATTTACAGGGAAAACACTATCATTTTGGTTAGTGACCTCGTTCTTCATATTTACTGATGATGTCACCATCCCCTAAAAAGATTTTTCCAGAAAGTAAACACCACGGAGCCAAATCTGACAGTTTCAAAGGGACCTTGAGTATTACTAGTTTCTATCCTTTCCATGAAGGAGCAGGACATCACTCCAAAGCATCTACACCACACTCAGAACAAGTGTTCTGGAGATGTGGCCTTGTTTTCAAAATTACAGACTGGAACACACGACCGGAGGATGGAGCTGAATCATTCTAGTCATCTAGGACGTCTGGTTACTGTGTTCAGAACCAAGTTTGCCCAAAGGACAGCAACCACCGAGCTGTGAAAAGTCCAGCCTGGGGTGAGGGGCTGTTAGCTTGAAGGCCCCAGGAGCTGACAAAGCAGCTGAGACTTGTTCACTTGAAAAACAAAGTGAACGCCACCAAGTGCCAGCCCAGCGGCCACCTCTGCATCTTCCCTGAGTGTGCCAAGGCAGAACGAAGAATATAAACGACACTGCCTTAAGTTGTAGCTGACAGTTGAGGAAAGAGGAGCCAAGGGGGCAACCTGCTTCCTGGGAAGGGAGGGCCTACTGACGTCAAAAGCCTTGTACTTGTACAAGTACAAAGCTGTGGTAACTCAAGGAGTCTGGCTCTTATAAACATTGCCATGCCACTTCCCAAAGCAAAAAGCTCAAAATTGTTAAACCAAGGCAAGAAAGCTACCCTCCCTGACCAACCCTGGCCTCTGCTGATCCCATATTCTCCCATGTGTGAACTTCTTCTACTTCCAGGACTTTTCACCTGAGTGCATTCTGCACCTCTAGTTGAACTACATGGTTGGGTGGGGTGAGTGGGGAGAAAGGAAACACCTCTTGCTCTCCTTACGATTCCCTTTTGTCTGCTGCCTGCCTGGCAGGATGAACATTATGGCAGGGTTGGGAGGGAGCACAATCTACAGAAGGAGCAGCAGACCTCTCTGCACCATGCATGTGTTTTGCCTGCTCTGGGCCTCAGGTTCCTTGTCTGTAAAAGGAAGTGAATGAATGTGAGCCCTCTGGGTCCGTTTGAGGTCCAAGAGCCTGATAGCCTGCTCAGCACACATCAAGTGCCTATGTTACTGGGATATTATTCCCAAGATTTCAGGCCAAGGCTCTAGTGCTTAGTGGTGTACAGATGGGAAACCCAATAAAGGGTGAGCGATGCAGTTTTAGATCTCAAACTTCAATATCCTGGCCAAACATTCAGAAAGCATTTCAGAAGAATCTGATGGTCTGGCAGACACAGCACAGCCCAGGAGCAGGAGTGAAATCAGGCAGTCCAGATCTCTGTTGGACCTGGGAACAGGCAGGAGAGTGAAAGGCCACCAGCACGGAGGGCCAGGCAGTTTCCTCAGGCACCTGTGACAAAAACTGGAGGTTCCCACACCCAGTGAGCGGTTTACTCCAACATACTTTTTCACAACAGTGCAACTGAGAAGGCTTGAGAAGGGTACCCTTTGGGGGCTTCTTTTCCCTTTTCCTTTGTGAGCCTCTTAGTTACACAGGCTACTTACATAAATAATGCTAGTGTTACCAATACTTGGCGGTAGAATGAACAAATGAAGGTACCTACTAATTTATAAGAAAGAGAACCCCCAAACTCCTGGATGACCAAGAGACACTGCTTGCTGGTCTGAGAATTAAGAAACATGACTCTTTTAAAACTTCTACTGCTTCTGTCCCACTCCAGGTATTTCCCCTAGAAAGCATTTTCCAAGGAAAAAAATCACAGTGAGGGACTGACCACAGCTAAAAAGGAACTCTAGGGACAGGGACAGAACAATGAGAAACACATTCCACTTACCATTGATTCACTAATCAGCAGTAACAACAGGGCCTCTTCAGTATTTTCTTGAGGGCAAAAAATGCTGCATAAAGAAAACCAACTTTGATATATGGCAGTTTCAAAATAACACAAAATACACAACTACAAGTAGAACAGAAGGCTAAAAGTGGTTTACAGAGCCGAGAAAAAATAATGTATAATATCAATACTTGAATTAATTTGCTTATTTCCTCTGTTTATCTGTGGAATTGATTTTAGCTATGTATTTTAGTGGTAGGCAGAGGGTGAAACAATGCTGTAAAAAATCAAGTTAAAGCCTAAATAACACATGTACTTATTACTGAGGCAGAAATTTAGATTGCTACAAACTGACATGTAAATAATGCCAGCCTTTGCTTAAATCCATTATGGAAGCATAAACTGCAGACATTTCACTAAAAAGTGTCCTTCTTATCTGTCACCTGCTAACTGGCAGACCTTATATTGTCACTTAGATGAGTTCAGAAGCAATTTTAGATGGTTAATAATTTCTCTAATGCTGAGAAATTTGGTGAGCTATCTTTTTCTTGTACTGGGGATTGAACTTGGGTCCTTGTTGGCGACCAGGTGGGGGGACCACTGAGTTAAATCCCCGGCCCTTGGTGAGCTATCTTAAACACACATTTTTTATTATGGGGTAGCATGCAAGAGCTGTCTTGTTAATCTATTTTATGAAATTTGACTGAACTCTAAAATTTTGGATTAAAATAAAAAGCTTTTATGCTCAATGTTGCTGAGGATTAGAAAACAATAAAAACCCAAATATAACCCCAATCAGCACTCTCTGTATCCTACTTTTTTGTGCTGTGAGCACTTTTAAACACTCATGGCTTTTCTTTCCTTCCTGCTCTAGAATCTTTTAGTAGAACTATGAATGTTATCACCAGTTGGGCCAAACTCAACTTTTCTTCAGAGCATAGAAAGGATTTGCAATAAATAAAAATCATCTTGACTCAATAACTCCTGGATATTTTGAAGACCACTAAATAAAGACTGAATTTATTTCTTCCTATGGATAACATTAAAATTATTTAGGAGATTTCTTCCCCCCAAAAGGTGAAACACCCATGTTTTTTAAATAATTATAAATACATGTTATTTTTGAAATGCTGGTCAGTTTTGTACTATATCACAAGGCTCTTAAGAGTGAGAAAGAGAAAGTACAGTGCCTGGTCCTCTTGTGACAACTCTGACATCTCAGGCAGGGATGTTTCTATTGCCCCTCCAGGGCCGTGATCTTACAGCAAGGCTGGCCTACCCCTCATGCAGGATTCTGGGGCTTGAGGTTACTTTCTTTGGGAGTCAGCTTGCAGTCATCTGTATTTTTCAGAAGATATAACATTTCATTCCTCTTGAATTCAGAAATAGAACTACAGGCTCTGAACTAAGAGTGCCCCAACATGGGTGTACATGTGTGTGCAATTACTTGCTGATATCCTTGCTGTGCCTGCATGCTTTGTAAACATAAAACAATAACCTTAACCACTTTTTGCAGATAGCCAGTTCTGCATTGTTCAGGGTAATTGCAGAGACAGCCTGTGCTAATTGTGACTTAACACTAGCCAATTCAGCTTGTGGATAATCTCCAAATTCCATTTGAGCCATCCAGCCTTAAATGTTGGTTGTGTTATTTTTACCAGAGTTGCTAACAAGTAGCGCATTAACTGATTCTAATTCCACTTCCTGGGCCCTCCCTATTGTAATAGGCAGGATGGTTACTCAGGAGCCTGCAGAGTTTCCAGGGCTGGTGAGGAGGGGGAAGAAGGGAGAAAGGAAGGTCTTAAGAGACATTATACACTCAACTGTCCTTTCGTTACTTATGAACTCTTGAGGCTCCATTTCCGGCCATTCATTCCCTCTTCCTTGCTTAGACAAGTGAGAAGCCCAGGATGAATGGTCAAAATTGTTGAAGACTTCATTTTGTGACATTCGCCTTTTGGAGCCCAAGGGCCTCAGGGGTTGACACTGGTGTGCACAGACTCAGATCTGGAGAGTGGGAAAACCAGGGCTCTGGTCCTAGAGGAAGTGCTGTGACGGGCAAGGTGTAGATCAAGGGCACAGTAAGAAATGGAATGGTAGGTAAGGGCTGGCTTCCAAAAGCCAGCAGCCTAGGGGCGGGGGTAGAAGTGCCAGGGCTGCTGCCAGACTGAGAGTGAGAGGGCTGCGTGCAGGCCACTCTGCTAAGCCACATGGTGACCTTTGGGCAAAGTGCCCACGTTCTAGCTTTAGATGAATTGGCCAACTCATGATGTGATTCTATAGAAGACACAGGAAACAAGGGCAAGGATCCTCATGCGCAAATAGGAAGCATATCTTTCCAGGGCTTCCACAAATAGTTGTTTCTTGAAATTTTCTTCAAATACGTAAAAAACGTTGCTGCTTGTCAGAGAAAAAAATTATACCAAAGAAATTAAACCAGCTATATCCAATTGCATTTCATCTCTTCTGTCATCTGGAGCCACTGCATGACAAATGAGGAGGCAGATGTCTAAACATCAACAGCACCACCCAGAAGTCAAAGTGACTCCATTTAGGTGCAGGGAAGGCCTTGAACTCTGCCAGCCCACAAGGAAGAGGATTTTAAATAATGACTCCAAAGACCACGGACAGAGCTTTACAATGCTCCTGGGCCCGGCTGGGCCAGTGCTATATAAAGTCCCAGATGTGTGGCAACTGAACTGCAACAGCCAGATCAGAGCCCAGGAGTCAAGGCCAAGAGCAAAAGCCCCAACCTCCCTGCCACCCCCGCCAGTCACTGTGCTAAGCATACTAAGGCAGAGGTTACCGTCCGTGCCACATCCGGGCAGAAATCACAGACTGAGAGTGCCTCTTGACACGAGGGTTGTCCAGGCTTCCCATGACCCTTCCCTCTTTGGTCAGCCCACACTAGTCACTAATTCCCTCATGACAAAGGACGACCACTCAGGTACCCAGAACTGCAGTCTGAGGGGGCATCAGGTGAGTCCCACACAGCCGGTCCACCCGGGGCAGGGACCTGGTGTTCCTGCGACTCAGAGGTGGGCCTGGCTCACTTGTCAGTCACGCGGCTTTGGTTCTGACAGAGGCCATCGTCCTAGCTGCACCACCCTCCTCTGCCCACTTGAACTACCTCCCGCCTTGCCAGAAACCTCTGCGTGGGTGACCAGAGCTGCAGACCCACACCAAGCAATGACGGGTCACCATCTCCCTGCAGGCCTGCCAGGGACTTGCTGGCATCCCACAGATCTTTTCATCATCCACTTCTGGGCACGACACTGGCTTTAAATCTTCTTTGCTTGTGCTAATCACTGACTCTAATATGCATGTAATTATCTAAGCTGCCACACGTTTTTATGAGGAGGCATCAATGAAAGGAAAAACATAGCTGACTGACATACACAAGTACACACACAAAGATATATATCAAGGGCACTCAGAGCAGTACTGTTACTCTTAGCTCCAGTCAGAAAAGGAAACAGCTCAAATGGCCATCATGAGAGGGAGGCAGAATCAATCAGTGGAATATTATGTAGCACTGAAAACAAATTACTACCACATGCAAAAATATGGGTGAATTTTTCAAATATATTGCTAGACAAAAGTTAAACATAAATGAGTGCACATTATACAATTCCATTTATATAAACTTCTTCCCACAGTGTTGAAGGTAATGCAACAATGACTTATTTATTTTGAGACAGGGTATGTTGCCTAGCCTGGTCTTGAGTGGCTCCAGAACTCCTTCTGCCTCAGCCTTCTAAGTGCTGGTACTACAGATATGTGCCAAAGCACCCAACTTATCCAAATTTCAAAAATGAGCCAGACTAATTATTGTGCTACAAGTGAGGACAGTTGCCCGAGAACAAAGGTAGTAACTGAGAAAGTACAGAGAGGCTCTAGGGCTCTGGCAGTATCTACTTCTTGATCAGGATGCTTATGACATGGATGTGTTCACTTGGCTAAAACTCATCAAGTTTTCTACTTCTCACTTGTTTCTTCTTCCCTATTTGTTACATATCAACAAAACACCTAAGAATAAAGTTAACCAAAGCAGAAAATTCTCCAAAGAAAGACCCAGAAGAAAGGACAAAAAGGAGGCCTATGACAGGTGATCCCTCCCCTTTCTACTCAGCATCTGCCTATTTTATTTCCCTTCAAAATTCAAGAGAAGTTGATAACATGCACCTCTTTCACTTCTGCCATGGCTGCAGGGAAGGTGGCGGGGGATCCTGCTGCAGAGCCTGCTTTGCAGGTGTGCCTGTGAGGACCAGCAAACTGGAGTGGGAAGTCCTGTGTCTCAACTGTGCTTTGTATTCACACTTCGCATAAGAGATCACCTGGATGGGTCAGGGATTTAGCTCAGTGGTTCCACTATCTGCCTTGCAAGCGCAAGGACCTGAGTTTGATCCCTGGTACAAAAAAAAAAAGAGACCACCTGGGACTACCGGCCGAGACCAGGGTTAAGCCTTACCCACAGATCCCCTCTTCTGCCTCCCAGCCAGCATCACTGCCGGTGTCCTCACGCCCCACCACTGGCCAATCAGACCACCCTGCCTTGGTAAGGAGCACACCCCAATCAAGGAACCCCCAACAGGTTTTCTCTTTTTATTGATAGTTCAAGTAAGAAACAGGGTTGTGAACATACAAAACCAGAAAGCTGAAAACTGATGAAGGCATAAAGATGAGCGTGGAAATTAGAGAATAGAATCTCAATGGAAAAACTGAGCAAAACCAAAAGTTGGTTTGTTAAATAAATCAACAAACTGACAAATCTTTACTTAGGCTTACCATAAAAAAAGAGAGAGAAAATACAAATTACCACAGTGAGAAATGAAAGAGAGGATGTAACAACCAATCTTACAGAAATCAAAAATTATACAATGAACAAATGTATGTCATTAAATTGGTAACTCAGATGAAATAGACCGATTTCTAGGAAGACACAAACTACTAAAACTGATTCAAGAAGAAAAAGAATATGAATAGACCTATGAGAGAGACTGAGTTAGTTTTGAAAAAAATTCCCACCAAGAAAAGCCCAAAGCCAGATAATTTCACTGGTAAATTCTATCAGACATTTAAAGGAGAATTAATAGCAATTCTCCATAAATGCTTTTAAAAAAATAGAAGAGGAAGAACTACTCCAACTTGTTTTATAAGGGCTGGTACCAAAATCAAAGATATCACAAGAAAACTATAGAATAATATCTTTTACAGATGTAGGTATAAATATCTTCAAAAGAATACTAATAGAACCTAGCCATAGAGAAAGTGGAGTTTTACCAACTCAAATCTGCCTCTAAATAGTTCATCCTAAGGGATCAGCATTTGTGCAGTGAGAGTTTGGGAAATGCTTGAACAGGTGTTTTATAACACCAGATAAGGACTCAAGAGGACACAGACTGTGGAATAAGTAAACTCATTGTTTGACAAGGCCATGGAAAGGGGAGGGTTAAAACTAAATTAAAATAAACCTAAGGAAAAAACCAGGAATATGCTCACATATCTGAATCCACCTAAGAAATGCAAACTGAACAAGAAGGTGATAAGAGCCAGGGATTTGGCTCAGTGGGAGGGTCCTGAGTTCGATCCCCAGTACCAGGAAATAAAATAGTTGTCTTGGGGCCAGGTATTTGGCTCAGTGGTGCCGTGCCTGCCTCACAAGTGCAAGGTCCAGAGTTCGATCCCCAATACCAAGGGAAAAAAAAAAGGTGATAAGAGGGAGAGATGCAAGCTGTTGGCTTCAGAGGAGTAAGCAGCAGCAGCCTGGAGAAGAGCCACCCAGTCATTTTCTGATGTCACACATGGGGTATCTAGCCAACCCATCTCTCAGCACTTTCTCAGGGTTTCAGAAGCAGCTGTCTGCAGTCTCTCTGCCATCTGCCCACTTCGGTGACACTAAAGAGGTTCTCCACATGTGTGGCCCCCTTTCCTTCATGTACAGATTCTGAAAGGTCCTTGAGCCTTGTCCTTATTGCACCAAATGAAGAAGGAATTCAAGGCTTTGATCAGGAACAAGTGACCTATCATTCCTCTCTTCTGGCCCTTCCTGTTGTGTTCCCACCCCAACCCAGTTCTCTAGCCCTGACCTGAAGACGCTGAGGCCTGAGAATGTAGTGGCTTCCTGGTCTGTTTTCCCCAAAGTTGTTCAAGTCTCGGATTTAAAACTTAAAAAAATAAAGAACTTCTGAAGAGACCGCACCTTCTAATCAGTGGAAAATGATTTAATTGTCCTTATGTCTAGACCAGCTTACAAGACGATTTAAATGAAAACAAAGGAGTTGCTGAAGAAAAGAATAAATGATTGCTCTGACTAGAAGGAGCTGTGCTGCTGATCACTGTAAAGTGCTACATTCCTATAAGTGGAATGAGAATCCCTAGACCAGTGATGGTGAACCTTTATAAAAATCGAGTACCCCAACTGCAACCCCAAACCCACTTGTTTATCGCAAAATGCCAACACTGCAATTAAACCTGAATATCTGATGTTCAGCTGCCGGGGTGAGGCTGGGGAGACTTGGCTCAAGTGCCGATGGAGAGGGCTCCGCACGCCCACTGTGGCACGGGTGCCACAGGCCCACCACCACTGCCCTAGACCAACAGTGAAGCCTGAGGCCCAGCATAACACTGAGAAGAGAAGAGGTTTCTACTGAAATGTCCCTGTCGTGCACATATCTGCTGAGGTTGCTGTCAAACTGGTAAATAAGACTTGTTCATCCGACTTCCTTCTGCCCATATACTTCTACCTGTCCTTGAATATGCCCACATTTCCTTCCCGCCCCCGGCTCCCGACTGAGGACAGCAACTTCTGTACTTCTCTCCTGAGTAGACACGGGCTCTGCGAGTGAGGGTGTAGGTTTTGGTGTTTGCTCCTTTCCGGAGAGGATCATCCAGAGGGGACTGGCATGGAGGATCCTCCAGGGGGTTCCAGTAGCTCTGCTCACACATTCCCCGCAACAAGATCTCTGCCAACTGCCTGGCGATTGTCTGGGAACATAGAGGAGGAAAGGCAGAGCCATGAGTCTACTTTACATTACTTACTCATTCACTACATACTTATCAGCCATCACTTCAGGCCAGGCACTATTCCAAGATTCATAATGTAAAGTTTTTACTTCGATGATGAAAATTATACTAGTTTATGACAAAAAAGAAAATATGATACACTAAGGTATTTTGAACATTTTTCTAAAGGCTCACATGCTTGTAGTGTCGTGTCTCAGTTACACCCTGGAACACTAAACATGTTTTATATCAGAAACAAATGAATTTGTAGCTAAGCCCTTTTCCAAGAGATCTTATAAATAACAGGTGAACTTCAAATATTTTCATCACCTCCCAACAGATGCCTACTAAAGCACAAGTCTGGTAAAAAGCCAGACTGGACTTAGGTGATGCCTCTCCTAAAAACATCTCTTCACTGACCACATGATGTGTGTGCAGAATTTCAGAATGTTCTCCTTCTCACAAGTGCCAAGAGCCAGCTGTACCTGGCCCACCCTTGGGACCCAGCACTTGAGTGCCCTGTTCCAGCGTGGCCTGGGCTCCCACTTGCCCCATGTGGGAGAGAAGGGAAAGTGGGGGCTGTGACTTCTGGTGGGTGTTATCTCCTCCTCACCATGGAAACCCCGGCACACCTGGATATCATCCTCTGAAGTTAGTGCAGAGGAATACGTTTTCCCAAACCCTCTGTAACTCCACTGCCTAGGACAGTACTAAAAACGATGTATGGGGAGGGCTGTGTGTGGCATGTACTAAGAAGCATTTTATTGATTGGTGTATATCAGTTCATTTAGCTCATAATTGTCCAGCACAAAGGAGATGAAGGAAAATATCCTTGAAAACACAAGCACCATATCCTAGGGCAGTCTAGCACCCTGCCACCTCATCAGCCAAGGATGGCATAGCCAGAGATGGAAAAAGTCAGGTTTGCATATAACAAAGAATGCTGAGCTTCCCTCAGAATGAGCCTTTTAAAATAAGTATGTTCCAGAAGAGAACACTGCTAGGCTTTCATCCATGTGAAATTTCTTAACACTCCCCAAGGAAACTTAAATACAACCAAATCACTAGCTTGGTGGTTTCTGATAACCACTGGGTAAAGGCAAATTTTCTTGATTATTCCCAAGTAAGACCCACTGCCTTTAAAATTCTATAAAAATGTGAAATTAAAAGCACTCTGATCATCCCCAACTGAGCCATCTGTAAAGATCTTATAAGAACACAATTTTCAGGACCTAAACAGTTTCTGAGCTGTTTTCTTAAACCTTCCATTATAGTTTCATTTTGATCTCATTGCAGTCATATAAGCTAATGACTTCTGCTGGAAATTTCAATTGAAATACCCTCCACTCACTATAGCTGAGGAACAAATGTTAAGAGAAAATAAAAAGAGTAAAGAACTTCATTTTCTGGCTATGTCTGCTATGCTGAGGTTCTAAAGGTATAGAAATTGGGTTTTCTTCTTTTCTGTGTGTCTACTATGAGATATTTTAGAGTGTACGCTCCAATGACATCTACTACATTGAAATATTTTGCAACCGTCACCACTAGCTAGTTCCAGAACATTTTCATCACCCCAAAAGGAAACATTATACCCTTTAAACACTCCTCACTTCTCCTTTCTCCCAGATCCTGGGAACAACTAATAAGCTTTCTGTCTGGTATGTATTTGGCACTTTTGAACATTACACAGAAATGGATTGATGTAACATGGGTCTTTTTATGGCTGGCTTCCTTCAGAGAGCAAGCACTGTGTTTTCAAGATTCATTCATGTTGTGTATGCTTCAGCGCTTTCCATTTTTATGGCTGAATGGCATTCCACTGGATAGACATACCACATTTTATTTACCTATTCTTTACCTTGTAGGCATTTGGGTTGTTTCTACCCTTACTGTTGGAAGTAGTGCTCTTACAAACATTCATGTGCGGTCTGTGTTTGAACACCTGTTTTCAGTTCTTTGGGGGTATAAGCCTAGGAGTACAATTGAGTATGTGTACTTTTAAATCCTTCTTGTCTATGGTCTCACACCAGCTCAAGTTTACAATTTTTCCATCTCATAAGAATATTACAAATTTGTAATTATTAGCTAATCTAAAAAGTCACAAAGTTATTAATTAAGGCTGATGGAAACTGTCTTATGAATGGCATTAGCTGGAGAAGCTTTCTGGTGTCCATGTGAACCGAGACCTCAGTGAAGAAGGCCCAGGAAACACTTCTCCATTAGCCTGGACCAGGAATCACTTGGAAAACTTTAGGAACACAGAATCTCAGGCCCTTCCTGGGCCCTCTCTACTGGAATTTCTGAGGTCAGAGTTGGGGATACACATTTGTTCAAAGTCCCTCAGACAGATCTGGGGACACAGCTCTAGCCTGCATGTGCCAGGGCCCAGTACACAAAATAAGCAAAGAAAACCCCAAATTTCCTCAGATAAGTCTGATGCACATCTCTGACTAAGTGGTCAAGGAATTAGAAACAGTTTAACTTAGGCCACTTGAAGACAATCAGCAGAGACCAAGAGACACACTTGCACCTCAGTGTGACAGAGTGGAAACCTCTCTCCTCCTATTAATGCTGGCCAGCTGCCAGCGGAAGGGCCTGGGGTCAGCTCCAGCCAACAAAAATTTAAGAGACTCTTCCTTGCCTCTCAGGGGAACAATGGAAGAGACCCTGTCCATTCCTCATGTATCTCTATTCAGAATCCTACCTCACAGGATGTTTTTAAGAAGTTAAAATACATTGAGTCGATAATATTCATAAACCTTAGACAACAGTGGAAGATGGTCTCTAATTTAGAAAAGTAACACTGAAATAAACAGCAGATTCATTCCCATAGTGTATGGGGGATACCTGCACCTTTTAATGGGGAAACAATATATAATATTATATAGCATATAGTATAAAATATTATAAACATATACAATATGAGAATATATAATGTATACGATATATAATATTGTATATTGTGTTGTGATATAATATATATATTATATTATATTGGGATATATATATTTGAGTGTCAGTAATATGAACAAATGTTCCATTTGAGTAATTTTGAAAGGCTGGATTTTTCAATGTGCTTTTTTTTTTTTTGCTTTATTTTTTTAAATTGAGTTTATTGGTACATTTTAGGTATACAGTACAGTTACATTCATTATTGGGATCCTGTACCTTTACATGACAGGTCTTGTTTCTCATTTTTTCCCTTTGTCCCTGCCCTCCCTTCACCTCCCCCTTCCCCATTTACAAACACTTTATTTCCATTTTTTCATTTTCTCATATTTTTTTCTTTTCCCTTATTACCTTTCCCCTACCCTTCAATGTGCTTTTAAAGTAATTATGAAAACACTTGCCAATTTAATCAGTTACCTTCACTGTGCTTTGAAATCTTGGAAGAAGCTACTCATACTAATTAATTCAGAAGCTGTATAGAATGCTGCAGTAAGTCAATATGAGAAAAAAGATATTCTGGAAACAATTTTTTAATCCATATTCTTGCTGGTTCTTCTGCTCAAAAGAACCCTAAAAATCCAAATGCCTTCTCTGAATGTGTGGCACTTGCAAATGGCATTAGTATATAAATACTGAAGACCACGAGGGTTCTTGGTGAGGGTGTGTATGTGTATGTGTGTGTGTGTGTGTGTGTGTGTGTGTGTAAAGGCACTCATCTTATCTCAACAGCATGATTCTAGGGAAGCCTGGGTTAGCTATCTGGCCCCACTAGTCATCCATCTACATCCTAAAACCTATAGCCTCATTCCCAGTGACATAAATCTCTTAGCCTTCCTCAACTGAATACTCCCCCAAACATTTAAAAGATTTATCATAAAGGAAGGAGAACAGCATGGGTGACAAAGGATAAAAGAAGCTGCAATCTTACATATGGTCGCTATGTCAATTTTGATATGTGGCATTTTCTTAGCTTCTAGTAAGCACCAGGCCTCCCCACCCAACACCTAATGCCTATGGCTCTTTGGGACAAGCTAGAGAGGTTGAATTCAATTCATAAATGCCCCCAGAGAAGAAAGTGAAAAGGTTAAAAAGAAAAAAAAAAGTTAACAGGCTAGCCAAGCTCTTGATCCACCAGATAAACTCTTCTTCATTTCTCTTCTGAGTAGTCAAGCAACCAGGACCCCTTCAGGGTCTTCTTATCTGCACTGTTCTGTCTGGGTTTTGGTATGAATCATAAGCATACAGCTAACTTCTTCCACACTGGCATCCAGAAATGCTGACATTCTACTTGCTTGGCAGAATTCAGCTCTTATATTTCAAGGGAGAGCACTGCCAATGAGCACACAAAAAGATGCTCAGCTTCACTGGCCATTAGAAAACAGAAATCAAAACCACAGTAAGATAGCACTGCCCACCCACAATGGCTACAACTAAAGAGATAATAACAAGTGTTGGTTAAGATGTGCAGGAATGTAGAATGGTGCATCTGCTTTGGGAAACAGTCTGGCAGTTCCTAAAAATGCTAAACATAGAGTTACAGATGACACAGTAATTCCACTCCCCAGTATATACCCAAGAAAAAGGAACACATATGTCCACTCAAAAACTTGTGCATAAATGCCTATAGCAGCATTACTCATAATAGCCCAAAAAAGAAATAACTCAAATGTCCATCAACTGATAAATGGGTGAAAAAAATATGGTATATCCAAACAACAGAAAATTATTGGCAATTAATAAAAGAAAGGTTAATAAAAGCTGCAACATGAAACCCTGGATGTATTATTCTACCAAAGGAAGGCAGTCACAAAAGACCACATATTGTGTCATTCTATTTATATGACATGTCCAAATTAGACAAAAACAGAAAATAAATTAGTGGTGGTCAGAGGCTGGTGGGTGGGGAAAATGGGAACTACTGATGTACTAGTGTTTCTTTTGGGAGTGACCAATGTTCTGAAATCCAACGTTAGTGATAGCTGAACAACTACAAATATGTTAGCCACTTAACCAGTCCAATCATTTAAACACAGGATGACCAAAAACTGGGTATTTTAAAAATTTTATAAGATAACAGAACAGGAAATATTAAAATGACAACTAATTCACTCCATACAAGAATGGACTGTTTGAAATGACACCTGTCCAAGCAACGCTCAGGACAGTCAGTACGTAAATAAACGCACTGCCCAAGTGGTGCTCAGGGAAAAATCACGGGTTAAAAGCCATTGAAATGTATACTTTAAATGAGTGAATTGCTACTTATACATGTATATTACATATTTAAATATGCAAATGTATGTATATGTGAGACAAGGGCCCTGGTGGCCACAAGAAGTCACTAAGTGTGACACTTACCATTCGCAAGTTTTGTGTTGTTCTTGTTTCCACTGCTCTGAGAATCTCTCTGAATCTTCCAACTCCTCTTGTCAAGTTCCTGGTTACACAAAAAAATTGACAGGGTTTCCATCTGGCATGTATTAATATTAAATATTTTATACACATATTTCAATGCATTTTGTCTGCATGAAAGCTGTTGGCTAGATCCTAAGCAAACAATTATTCTGCACATGTCTATCCATCTTTGGTGAGCATGAAAAATCTGACCTAATATTGATGATGGTCTTCTGTGCTGTCTAGCGCCAATTAAATTTCCTCAAGAAAATAAAAACCTGAAAATCAGTTGAGGCCAAAAAAAGAAAAAATAAATAAAGCAAGATCTCCTACAAGGGTTACTATATCTTCAAACTTAGAGTGGTACTAAAATCTGTATTTTCATTTAAAAAGTAGGAGGCAACTCTGGGCAAAGGGTGCAAGAATATCAGAAAGGCACTGTAGACAAGGTGGGCAAAGCCTTCTTATTGCAAATGTATGGGCAGGATAAAGATAAATGGTATAAAAAGAGTGGCCCACCAAGAAACTACTCTTCCTCAGAAATCTCTTCAGATCATAAATCACCCCCAGAAGATCTATCAAACCAAGTCTCTTCCCAACTTTGCACTGGCAAAAAGAAGCAAAAGGTTAAGTGTCTCTTTCTTTCTTTCTCTTTTCGTAGCAGTGTGAGGGATCAAACCCTGGACCTTGCATGTGTAAGGCAAGTACTCCCCTGCTGAGCAGTAAACTCAGCCCCAAAGGCCCCTTCTGAGGGTAGGATGGTGACAACTGGCACGTGGGGCTTCCTGAGTGTGATCAGAATATACTTGGTCACCCTGTCCCACACAGTCACATTTCATACTTTAGGGGCCTCCTGGTCAATGTATCCAGAACCCACTGTCCTCTCTGAACACTAGTCCCAGCATGGTCAGCTGGGAACTCTTCCTAGCTGGTCCCTTTACACTGCGTGCTGCTGCCACCTGACATAACTCAGTGATATTTATAGGCTGCTCATTAGAACACAGCTTTGTAAAAAGCCACGGAACAGGTCAGCCAGTGCGGACCTGTCAGCCAGCCTCGGCAGGCCGTGGGAGATGCTGTGGGTATTTGGCTCTGTTCTTGGATGACATTTAAATCACACAAAGATATTAAATAAAAATGCAGATTCTGTAAGTTACAAGCACTTAAGAGGGCTATAAATCTGTATCTTATACCTACATGACTTCCCAGGGTGTTCATTCACAAGATCAGCCCAGGACTTTAAGATAATGGTTTATTGGCATAGGTACTCAAGTACTCCCATATTCCTCTCACCCACACACATCAGATGGTACCAGATCAGAAGCGTGATGGTGGCATAAAAAGAGAAGCCTGTGCTCAGGACTCCAAGCAACACTAATGAAATCTAAGGGATGTGAATAAAAATTTGGTAATAGTCCCTGGAACGTGCAATCTACTCTGCTTTCTCCTTCATTTGTTTTTATGGGATCCATGTTCACAAGCAACAAAGTACATTTGCTTTGGGCTGCAGCTCTGTTCTCTTAAGTAACATAAGGGGAAGGAAATAGCTATAACTAAAAAAGGGATGAGTATGTCTGTGAGAGTCTAATTTTGTTTCAGAATCACTGATTAAGCTCTCACTATGTACAAAGAGGCATGGCACTTTGAATGGTGTGAAATCAAGCACTGTCTGGGTCAGTACCACTGAAGACCCTGAAAAGAAGCTACTTTACCATGATAGAAATTAAGCCTTGAATAAGTAGTATCAAAGCTAAATATTATATGTAACTCAGTACAGGATACACATAGGAATTGGCCATTCAGAATGTCTCCCATGCCCTCTCTGCATGGGAGCAATAGAACAAGCTATTTATACATTATAGAAGCACAGAATCTTCTACCTATAAGTGACCCAACACAGTCAAGCTCACACAGAAGGAAAAGGGCCTGCTCGGGTCCAAAATCTGGTGAGAAAGCAATCTGGGAACATTCCACCATATTCTATTAGCTCCTTGGGTATAAGAAATATAAGCTCTAACTCAGAAACGTAACTCTAGAGGAAAGAACAAATATGAATCCAAGAGCTCAGATGTGTATTCTGTGCTATTAACATGCACATTACATAAGAGGGAGAAATACAACATAAATCCTATATTCCAGTGATGACAGTTAATGAGATGTTCCTAGGTACTTGCTCAAAATTGGAAAGAAAATTTGTTGACCCAGGTGAAGAAGTCTGGTGCCTGAGGGTAATGCCCTCAGCTGCCTAGAGAGATAAATAAATGAAGGGTAGAAAAATTCACCTCCCCTTCAAGGTTCTACATGGTTTCTCCCATGCAGGACGGAGGCCCTCTGGTGGAGAAACAGCAGAAGTCTCTGGAACATAAGGATGCTGCACCCAATCAGGCAAAACCAGCAACCAGGTACATGTTCCCCAGAAAGCCTTTGCAGCAATTGCAAGCTTTTCTCAAACTCTTTCTAGCTTATTCCTGGAGAGAGTTTAGGATTCAGAATCAAATTCTTCCTCAAGCTGGGAAGAATCCTGCTTCTACACAAAGAGTCCACAGTAGGCACAGAACAGAGGAAGTCCACGGCTGTGCCCTATTCAAATAAATGCGGCCCTGATCGAGCTAATTTAGGAGACGGAGCATGAGGTGAAAGACTGCACATTTTAAGTATCAGAAAAGGCCATACGTGCCCCAGTGCTAAGCAAATCCTATATTCCACTTAGAGACATTTAAAAATTACATAATGTGAAACAATCACTTCTACTGTTACCATTGAGGGCAGGAAAAAAAACAGTTTTCTTGAAGCTACATGGATAACCATAATAGGAACAAGGACAACAAAAAAGAAGAAAATAGCTTGTAAGAATTATATTGCATATTATATTCACCAACTTTGAGCAAGGTAAAAATCCAGTGATTTCCTTCATAGCTCTAAACTATTAGTTTGTTCTTAAAATGCTGAAATCCACTAAATATCTAGAACAAACTGCTAGTTAAGAGAGAATGGAGGAGTTCCCCTAGTTTTGAGAGTTTCCACAGACCCCCGATGTGAGGTCATTTATTCCATTTCAACACCCTTGACTGAGACAGTGCAATGACATCAGCATTCATTATGGTAAGTCTGTCTCACAAGGAATGTTCTAGCCACATTTGAGCAGCGGGCACTCTGGCAAGCTGTCAGAGCTGGGGGTTCATCTGCTGCACTCTGTTCCAGCATGGTTCCTGAGTGGGGTGCCCTTCCCTCCAGGTAGGCTGGTTCCCAACAGCTTGGCTATGACCAAGCAGGGCCAGGACCTGCAGGTCCCCTCGTGCCAGCTGCTTGCCCAGCCTGACAGGCAAGCAGAACCCTGTGTCCATTCACCAACATCACTGCTGTGCGAGCTCATTAGGGACACTCAGACCAGCATCCCTCGCCTTGCTCTCAGTCAAACCCTTGTTTCTCCCCAGGCAGCACAGTCTACCGCTTTCTGTGGTGACACCTTGTGCTCTGCCCTTGACCTACTTCCATTTTTTTCTTTTTTCCTCCCCTTTCTATATGGTTTCATCCTCCTCCTGAGTCTCTTCCTTCCAGGGCTTGTCTGGCTGCCACTAAGGCAGTATAAACAGTAACTTCCTGAAGATCAGTGCCGGCCCCAAAGGCCATTGGGACAGCAGGGAGAGGTAGACTCTCCTGGATCTGACCCTCTTCCTTGACTCTCCATCCTTGGGACAGGCTCCACTTCCCCTCGGGCCCCATAGCAGCACTTTTCAAGGCTGTTCTCCACATTCATATGCAAGCTCAGAGCAGCGCCCTGTTTTGTCCTGTTGTCTTATGACCCTAAATAGTTTCAGCTCTTTGAGACTATCTCTCTGCAGACTCTCTCTCTGCACTATCAAGTCACAGGTGAAATGTTCTCAGGAAGGAAGCCAAGGTTCCAGTGGCAAAATCACAATGGCAAAACAAGCCTGGGAGAAACTGGGGGATCTGAAAACCTTTTCAGCCTGTGATAGACTAGTTCGATGCCAACCTCAACAAGTTTTCCTGTCATTTCTCCTTTCATTTGTGAGGGGATGAAGATGGGATAAGACAATTCTTTTCAAAGTGTCCTTCTAAATATCCTTCTGACTTCCAAGTATGATCCAGACTACCAATACACTTAAATTCAGTATCATCTGTCTTTATTGTGTAAACACAAAGTTGCGATGTGAATAAAAGAGAGTTGCTACATATCAAATCCTTGGTTGAGAAAGAACAGGTGGCCTGCGTAAATTCAATCTCTCTCCTGGCTGAGAATTTTATAACTAAAAATCAATAACAGAATGAGTCAGCACATAGATCTCTCAGAGCAAATAAACTGTTCGGCTTTTTCCAGGTTCCTTCTTAGTGATGGCACTTCTGAAGCACTTAAGTTGTTGGTTTCAATAATTACCGAGCAAGGTTTCCTGTGAGGTTACCGAACATACACTGGTGAACATGGGACGCTGTCCCTCCTCAGAGAGCTGAGGAGGCTTCACATCCCCATTAAAATGGAAGGGTCTCTAAGACAGAGATCTGTGACTTCCTCACTGCCATATCCCCAGCCCTTTAAACAGGCCGGCTCAGTGTTTGCTGAAGGAATGAGTCAGAATCATTCTGGGCCAAATGAACCAATTCCACAAGGAGACACATTTTCCACCTGCTTCTTGTCCTGGTCTTTCTCACTGAGCATGGATTGGCAGGCAGCAGGGCTATGCGCTCTCTTAACTACAAAGCATCAGTGGTCTACTTATAATGTAGGGGCAAACAGAGTTCTCCTCCTGGGCCAAGTGACACGCCTGGGTGTGTATCTGATAGCTTTAAAGAGCTGCAAGGATAATGAAGGTTTCAAGATAAAAACAAAACAAAAAACCTTCCAGGTATTTCAGGAAAGTCTCCTGTGCTTGTGCCTCCAGATGTTCCTTTCCCTGTCTGCGGGATCCTGGCTACTCTGTCATCCTTAAGGACACAGGGCCAAGGCTGCTCCTGGAGACCTTCCCAGCTTCCTAAGGGTTCCGAAAGGTTGCTCACATCTTGAGCCTAGAATGTATTCAGCACTCT